CTTACAAAAAGAAAAAAAAAAATTAGTAACAATACAAAAGGAAACAGACTTGCTTAGAAAGTCTATACACTTTCTTTCCCCAGTTGTAGAAAGTTCTGAAAAACAGTCAACAAACTCCCTTCTTTTAAGAAACTCTTACACCCATCACAATTACTACAGCCATTATGTTTTACTATAAAAATAGTTATAAAATCAATGTTAATTTGATAAATGATACTTTTTCACCTTTAATTCTAACATGATTAAGAAAAATGGATTAATCTTCCTAAATGCAAATAAAGTCAACTTGAGTCCTAATATTTAAAATTCAGTAATTATTTTTTAGGACTTTTACTTTCACTTATTCAATAGAATCTTATTTTGCTTTTGTAACTGAATTATCCAGTTAGGACCATCACAACAACTAAATAAAAATCTAAAACCAGCTGTGCATGGTGGCACACACCTTTAATTCCAGCACTCAGGAGGCAGAGGCAGGCAGACCTCTGTGAGATCGAGGCCAACCTGGTCTACATAGCAAGTTCTATGTCAGCCAGGCCTACATAGTGAGACATTCTCTCAAAATAAAACAAAAAAGGGCCGGACATGGTGGTACATGCCTTTAATCACAGCACTCAGGAGGCAGAGGCAGGTAGATCTCTATGAGATCAAGGCCAGCCTGGTCTACATAGTGAGTTCCAGGCCAGTTGTGACTACAGGGAGACCCTGTAAACCGGCCCCCTGCAAAAGAATCTGAAACTAGATTAGATTACATTTGTTTACCACATTCTGAAAATACTTAAGTAAACATCTTTTGATTTAATTTCCTCTAAAATTGCCAAGGACTACAAGCTGTCAGAGGCAGCAAATGGGCACATTTTGCTGAAGTACATGGCTTCCATTCCATTTCTGTAAATAGCTTCATGTGTGAGCATGCTATTTTTGTTGTGCAAAGTCTTAAATTGAAAATAAAAGTATTTAGGGAAAAGTTTTTTTGATATTCATTTCATCAGTGATGGATAGACAAGATATTTTTCAGTATTTAACTTCTTTTTCATACTGACAAAAAATAGTTTGCTGTGATGACAAAATTCAAGCATTTAAAAAAATTGATGAGACAGTACTAACATAGAAATACATGAGAGCTGCCAGCAACTGGAAGTATACCTCAGAGCTACAATCTTATCCAGCACTGGGTCATTAAACAGACAATAAGGACAGGAGCCCAGGTATCCTAATCAGATTAGACTTTCAAGTAATATCCTTTGGAATTTTCTAAGATTTTTCTAAAGACAACTGATTTTTCAATTAAGAGTCATAGTTAAAATGAATTCTCCCACCTTGTGACTCCTTAGATGATTTCAAATTTTTTTAGTGCTTAAAGATACCAAAGTAAAATATAAAGCACCTTATTAAGTCCTGTAGTGCTGACTCAGTATTTCTTTTATAGTCTAGGAATAGGGATGGACACAATCCGACTCTGGCCCATCATGCCCACCTGAGGACCCTTCATCAGCTCTCACTGCAAAGATGGCCTGGGTCATCCTAGCTTTGTCTCATTTTCAATCCCAGTTACAAACTGGCCTTTTCCTTGTCTTGTCACAGTGACAAACTTGATTAAGTAGATACAAAATACAGAAGGCAGCATGACAATGGTAACAGCATTGGGATGATCCAGTACACTGAAGACTCAATCTTAGACCTATCACTGCGACACCTGCACAGTGTCTATCTAGACGAAATCAGACACTTCACTAACCCAGACAGCTATTTAGCACCAGCACGTCACTGCAGGCTTTGCTTCTGGTTTCAGGCTAATTCCGTTATCAGGGGGTTGACTAAGCATTAATGGCTTGTGGCTCTTCAGTTTATGAGCCAACGTCATAAATATAGCTTCCACATGGTCATTGTCATTGGGATTCTTAGCAGAGGTCTCAAACAAGGGCATACTATGTGTGTCAGCAAATTTCTGTGCCAAGTCTGTGGGTACCTGGATGGCGTTTCTCAAGTCACATTTATTTCCTACAAGAATGCGTGGGATGTCATTCGCCAGCAAATGCTGTTTGCACTCCTCTATCCAGGCTGGCAGGCTGTGGAAGCTGGCCATGTTGGTCATATCGTATACAAAGACCACAGCATGCACATTTCGGTAGTAGTGCTGGACCATGCTCTTTCTGAACCGTTCTTGTCCTGCTGTATCCCACAACTGGATCTGGAAAAAAAATACAGTCAACTGACAATGTCCTCCCAAGGGTACATCCTGAGGGCATAACCACTTTCACACAGTCTGTGATACCTCTCCATCTGTCTAACACCTGGACCCTTCCCCACCAGAGTTACCCATGGGACCTAGTCTAGTTACCACATAACTAAATCCTAATATGAGGCTCAGAAATACTTTAATTTAGCATTTTCTAAATATAAGTAGATCAAATATATTTGGATAAAATTATACCCATGCCTGAATGTGGTGGTATACACCTTTAGTTCCAGCACTCAGGAGGCAAAGCAGAGCTCTATGGGTTCCAGATCTACAGAGCCAGTTCTGAGTCAGCCAGGGCTACATAGTAAGACCCTGTATCAAAAAACCCAAAGCCAAAACAAACAACCCCGCCCCAAATTATATCCCAAACATATGAAATGACAACAGAAAAATGTACTGGGTTTTCAAAAACATGTTGAATGTTTAATTCCTATGAATTTGCTAATTACCCCTCTAATTACCCCTCTATTTTTCTTAATCTAATCTTTTTAGACCTATGAAAGATGGTAATAACTACAAGTAAGTCTCCAACCAATATGTATGAAATTACCCCATTTTTTTCTAATTCCCTTTAAAAATTAAATGAGAGTACTGGTCTCTGTGGAAAACACTAGAGACTGATTTTGTTAGGTAACTTTAGACTGAACAATTTATAGTTTTCCTAGATATTTAGAATACAGATTATAAGCATGAAGTAGTAACTTCTCAAAGAATGATGTGAAAATCGGGAAAGGATGTAAGACATGAAACACAGAACACTCCTGGTGCTAAGAACAAGTGCTCAGTTAAGATGTGAATGTCATGGTTTTGTCATTTTTTATATTTTTATTAATGTGTATGTGTACACATACATGCCAAGGCATGCACAGGTAAGTCGGAGGACAACTTGCAGGAGTCAGTTCTCATCCACCACATAAATCCCATCAACTGAACTCTGGTTGTCAGGCTCGGTGGCAAGTGCCCTTACCTCCTAAGCCATCTTGTGGGCCCTGAACAAAGAATATTTTAAAACTTTT